TCACTTTCAAGGCCGGCACTAGACTTTTTGCCGCCACTATAAAATATAAATAATACGAGTACTGTCTGCTAAATTCATGAAATAAATAAATAAATGACTTACCTAAATTATCTGAATAGCTGATTTGTTGACATCACTTGTTTAACTAGCACTAGCACACAGTATGAGTCTGAGAGGCAGTTACAAAATGTTTTCCTCGTTGCCAATGCCAAAAAATGCCATTGTTCATTAAGTCCAAACAATGGTGATTGAATTCTAACACCTGATCAACAATGTGAACTTTGATAAGCAGTTGTCAATAATCAGTTCTCAACAATTATTTGTTATTATTCAAGTTTAACATTGTAAAATTAACAAAAATAATATAAAACTCATATCCTGGTGAAATAGCCACATGGCTGTCGAAAACAGTATGTTCTCTTCCCGTTCCCTAGCTTGTCGAGTACTCTTTCCAAAAATCGGGACTTTTTTTAAAACGCCACTGGACGTGGGACAAATTGTTAAAAATTGGGACTGTCCTGCCAAAAGCAGGACATCTGGTCACCTTAATAGAGAATTAAAATATTGTCACATAATCAATTTTAATATAACTAATTGTAATGTAACCATCTGGAAGGTTACAAAGAGCAGAGTATCATCAGGAGTAGCTCCCGCATCAAGATAGTCAATAATTCAAAGATTTTTAAGTTTCTTCTTCCCAATGAAAAGATACTATGCTCTTGAATGCGAACAAGCATGATAATTCACTTATGTCATGGGTACTAACTCAATGTTGATGCGTCAGCCTTTAAAGAAATGTACTTTTCTCATTGGCTTAGAATTTGAGCCAGTAAGGAAGGAGGACATTTTTATACATATTCAGAAATGAAGGCTGGCATAGTAAATATTGCTCTGTTCTTTATAAGAGTCTGACTTTCAGAACTTTACGGTAGTGATTTTTTTCTTTTATTGATGTAGTAAGGAAACTTAAAATATTCAGCCTGGGTGTCATTTTTGTGGCTTGAGATACATTTTCCAACGTTAGGAATACCTTACTTCTTACAGTTCAGACTTAAGATGTGATGAATTCTTAACAGATGTTCAAAGGAAAATCAAGAATTTAAATGCCAGTTTTTATTATCATGGTGAACATATTTCAGGAACAAAATTAATATTAATTTCCTAGACTTGTTTGAAGTTTGTAATTACTAGTGTTCTTTCATTTCTAAAGCGGCATATATTACAGTTATTACTCTCTTTTAATGGATGTTTAGAGACAAGAGTTAATGTTAGGTTCTCAGCAATAGCTATTTATATCTTGAGATTCTAGGTTATTACCATTTTTTTTGTTTTGGAAATTTAATAAAAGCATTAACAAAGGAGTGTGTTTAGTAATTTCTTAACATTAGGACTCGAGGGACCGCTGAAAATACAAGAAATCATACAACAGGACAATTTTCCCTTTCTCCCTGAGATCTCTGCTAAAACATCACTAGTTTGTAGAGAAACCACTAGAATGTTCTAACAGAGCCTTGAGTAGGCATTAACAATTAGACTAAAAGAAAAAAAAAACCTACTTGTACTTGCCTCCAATTTACACTCAGTTTAAAGCAATTGCCATAACACTGATACGTGAATTGTGCCTTTGATGCAAAAGAATATTTTGTCACGAAGCTATTTTGTTTCTCTAGTTTATGAAAAAATACTGAAAGTGGAGTAAAAAGTAATCGCAAAAGTAATTAAGAGGAAGGAAATAGGGGCAAAACCATTACACGTTTCACCAGCAACCCTTCTCCCCTTGAAAGCAAGAGTGAAAAATTTGCGAACAGAGAAAACGCTGAACATTTCACGTCAGAACACAGAACAAATAAACCTGGCAGAGCAGAGTTTAGGGGGCGGAAATGGAGCAGGTTTAGGGGACGGTCGCAAAAGGGAAGAGAAAATTGTCGCGTTCTCTTTGCAGCTGACAACTCCAGCCCCAGCGCGGGGCAAAGGGCAGCGCCCGCGGCGCTACATGCAAACGCGCGCACATTTTTGTGCTTCCGCCAGCGTGTTCGGCCCGCGCGGCAGGCAGCGCGGCTCGGGACTAGGCAGTCTCCGTCCGCGCCCCCGCCCGCGGCCGCCCCTTTGTCTCCCCGCGGGGCCGAGTCGCCCGCCCGAGCGCGCAGAGGGGCAGCGCGCCGCGCGCGAGGACGCGGGTCCGCGCGCCCGCTGCCGCCCCTGGGGCCCTCCCCTCCACCGCCGGAGTCCACAGCTCCGGCAAGGCCATGCTCGGGCCGTCTTGCTGGCTTCGCCGTCCGCTCCCAACTTGCAGCCGGGACCCCGCGCGCTGGCGGGCCCGCTCCAGCTCTTATTTCCTCCCTCGCGTCGGCCAGCGAGTACGACCTTGTGTTTGTTTTGATTTCGGGCTCGGGAGAGTGACTAGGGCTAGAAACAGCTGTGGTTGACCGCGCCGCTTATTTTGGCAGACATTCAGGGCCCCTTGTTGCTAACGTTCACTAGCGTGAAACAGCTCTTGCTTTCCCAAAGAATCGAGCAAAGAGGCGTGCTCCTCCCGTGACCCCTCTGATCAGCAAAGGGGGAGATACGACAGTCTTTCGGTCGGGCCTTGGGGGTGGAGGGGCCGATGCCGCAGTACGCCAGGCCAGGACTCACTCCTCTGGGGGAGCGGGAGACGTGGGAGCGCCCGCGGGCTCGGGTCGCCCGGGCCGCCCCGCGGGGCGGGCCGATGCGCCAGGGCAGAGCTCGGGGACGAACCAGAGGTCGTGGCGCGCGGCCGGCGGGCGAGGGGGAGGCGGAGGGCGGCCATCTACCTGGGCTACGTGGCAGCCATTGCCTGGTCCTCGAGACCCCTCCCCACTCGGCCGCCCACCCGCCCTCTCGCGGCTGGCTCCAGCGAGGTTGTTCTTCCCCGGCCGGACGGAGAGCGGCAGTGTCTCCCCACCCGGCGTGCTCGCCGCGCGTCTCCCCCAGCGGCCGCAGCTACTCGCCAGCCCTGCGCCGCGCCGGAGAGCGCAGTGGCGGCGGGAAAGGGCTGCGGACCCGCGGCGCCGCGTTGTGCGCTCGACGACGCGGCCCGGGCTTCGACGCCCCGCGCCCGCTCCTGGAGCAGGTAAAGGAGGCGGGTAGGAGGCAGGGGGCCGGGCTCAAGGCCCTGGAGGGAAGGGATCGCGGGGCACCGAGCCGAAGCGGGGGGCCTGAGACAGTGGCGGGTGGCGCTGCGTCCGAAAGCCGTAGCCCCGAGTGTGGGGGCCGGCGCGGGCCAGCTCCTGTCCGGCCCGCGGGCCCGGACGGAAGGGAGGTGAGGCGTAGGCGAGAGGCGGGCCCTGGCGCTGCGCCCGAGGCCAGCAAAGGCGGGGGCGGCGGTCGGAGCTGCTTCCCCGGCCGCTCTGGGCCTGGCTGGCCTCCAGGTCCGGGACACACCTCTCTGCCCCCGCCTGCGGTTTCCTGCTCTGCCAGTTCTCAACCCGGACTTGACCTTGTGTCTCTCCAGGCGCCTTCGGTGTTTCCCTGGCGGAGCCTTCTGGGAAGTTCGGGCCACCTTCCCGGGCATGTACTCTTAGCAGAGCTGTTTATTTACTCCTCGAAATCAAAACACTAAGCCGCTCACTCCACGCGCTCAGATTTTGGGTTTGCGGGGAGACATTCCCCTCCCTCGGTATTTGTGCGTGTTTTTGACCCTCGTCCAGCCCTTCTTTCCCTTGGCGTAACTTTGATCCTCACCGGGGCCCTTCGGTTCGCAAATTCCTCTTCTATAGAGTGAGTCATCTTACCCGGGGCACAGTTTACCCCACATACTCTTTTCCTTAAAATAGTTTTTTTCCTTTAGAAAGAGGGCTAGGGTAAAGAAATGTAGATTCCAGATCTGTCAGTGTTGGCTTTAAGGAATCTTCCTTCCGGCTACAGTTTTCTGGAACTGGGATCTGATATTTGTGGCACGGACAGGTTTGTACACATTCTCGCCATGCAGTGGTTGTAATGTCTCCATGGCACAGTGCTGACTGGAAGGCGGGATTGGCTGGTTTTTCTACTCGACATCTTTAAGCCAATCAAGAAGCGCTGCTTGCCCGGAGACTGGTTAACTCAGAAAAGGTGGGGATTGGTTGAGCTTCGAGAAGAAAATCCTGGAGAAAAACCTGGCCTGCCAGAAAACAATGACTGATTTACAGCTGTCTCTTCTTCTGTTTAAAACCAGAAAGTTTTCTCTTAATCCCAACACCAGCCCTTTTCCAGCTTTTTTATTATTTACAGTGTTTTTCTCTCAAAACACTCTTTTGTAACTCCTTTTAATACATATCATTCAGTTTTCACCGAAAGAACACTTACACGTTTTAAGCAATGTAAATATCATGGGCTTTTGTGTTCTGATAAGCTTGGTTCAGTTTTCTTTCTTTACAGTTGTTCATTTTCAAAGGTCAGAGATTAAGTCAACAAATTTGAGATTCTATGCCAGGACCTTTATTTTTTAAGTACTGTATCACGTTGGGGGCGACAGTGGCAGAGATGGTAGGAGGAAAAGGAAATAAATGGCTGCTTTTCTGCAAGGAGGCTACAATGTAGTTAACGAAGAATGACTAACCTATAAACTAACGAAGAATGACTAACCTATAAACTAATTTTTAGAAAGTACAAATCAGCATACACTATTTACGAATTCCATTTGTCTACCTGTTGACTTTAGTTGTTTTGAAGGAGAGAGGACAGGATTACTAGATTCCATGGAAAAGCGGGCTGAAGTTATGGTACAGGCATTTTTTTTTTTTTTTTAGAGACAGTCTCACTTTGTCACCCTTGGTAGAGTGCAATGGCATCACAGCTCACAGCAACCTCCAGCTCCTGGGCTTAGGTGATTCTCTTGCCTCAACCTCTGGAGTAGCTGAGACTACAGGCACCCACCACAACGCCCGGCTACTTTTTTGTTGTAGTTGTCATTCATTGTTTGGCCCACCAGCCCCAGTGTATGTGTGGGCGCCTTAACCACTGAACTATGGGTGCTGAGCCATGTTGGGGCTTTTTTTTTTTTTTTTTTTAACACTAATTACTTTCCTTTAAAACCTTCCTCTGCTTGTTCATAATTGTACATGTCTTTTGATATGCAAAGCAGTAATCGTTTATTAGTCAATGTGAATTTTAGAAAATAGGTATGTACCTTCTTTGCCTGAGCTGTTTTTTATATGCAAAATCACATTATAAGTCTTGGGAGGAATCTCAGATTGCCAGATCAAGCAATGAATTTATTGAATGCCTTTAGAAGTAGTTTATGTTAGGAATTAAAGGAGAGGTTGAACATTTTTAATGTTTACTGGGCCAGGTGATGAGTAAGCTGTACGTCAAGCCTTACATCATTATTACTCTGATTGCCCTCATCCTGCTGGTAATAGGATGGAATGTGTGTGCGTACCCGAATGTGTGCTTGGCATGATTTTAAGCAGTTTGTATATACTGTTGTATTTAATTCTCACACCTGACATTTGCACTGTCCTCAGTGCCATTTTACATATAAGGAGACAGACCCAGAAACGTTAAGAGAGTTGCGGAAAGCCTTCCCACCATTTTGTGTTCATATGTGTGTGTGTATACATACCCATATGTATCTCAGAGTCAGAATTTAGTCAGACTTTGCGCTCTATGACCCAAAACCTTTTTCTTTTCCCCTCTCTCCTTCCCTGCTTCCCTTCCTCCCTTCCTTCCATTTCAGAATATTACAGGGGTACACGTGTTTTGGTTACTTAGTTTGATAGTGTACATTTTAAGTCGAAGTTAAAAGTATGCCCTTTCACCCATAGTGTGCATTGTACCTGTTAGGTGTGAATTAACCCAACCCAAGGGCCATGTTAATCTCTGTATTGTTCCAATTTTAGTATATGTGCTACTGAAGAGGGCACCAAAATCTTACGCTGTTTTTTTTTTTGAGACAGAGTCTCACTATGTTGCCCTTGGTAGACTGCCATGGAGTCACAGCTCACAGCAACCTCCAACTCTTGGCCTTAAGAGATTCTCTTACCTCAGTCTCCAAATAGCTGGGACTACAGGCACCCACCACAGTGCCGGGCTATATTTTTTGTTGCAGTTGTCATTTTGTTTATCAGGCTGGGGCTGGGCTTGAACCCGCCAGCCTTGGTGTATGTGGTTGACGCTGTAACCACTGTGCTATGAGCGCCGAACCCAAAACCTTATTCTTAACAAATTATTTCTATGGTCTTTCTATCCATTCATCCGATCAGTTGTAAGATGTACTGTTATTTCATGTGCCACTACAAAAAAAAAGTTGCTCCAAGTAAATTGTGACACGTCATTGATTCTGGGATGCATCCCAACTGCAGAAATGTAAAAATATATCTTAAATTTGCTGAAATAAGTTAACACTGGTTTGTCAGCTGAATATTTTCCCTTTTATGTTACCCTCATTCAGTTTGCTTATATAAAACCCTATATGAGTATTAATGTTTCACTGAGTTTTGGTTTGTTGAATTTATTTTTAACAAAAGTAAATTCACTTTTACTTCCTACTTACAATACTAACTTCTTAAAATATGCGTAGAAAGTAGGTTGGCAGGTTTTTATTGGAAGGTAGGCCTTAAAAGGCTTGGGAGTATTTACCTTCTTACCCTAAAGCTTGAATTTTACTGGTACTGTACATCTAGATTGTGGTTAATCAGTTCTGTCTGATACGTGTGTTAATCAGTTCTGTCACGTAACTTTAAAAATTAAAAGAGCATTTCATTAATTTGTGTAGGAGAATAAGCTGGCTAAGCCAGCTAGATTTTTATGACGATTAGTAGAATTACTGGGTCAGGGAACACACATTGTTGCACTGGCTCAGGGTGTAGTGATTTCACCAAACTTCACTACACTGATGGTGGACACTCTGTTTTACTAAATGTAGAATGTCCATATCTTTTGATCATCTATTGGTTGTTTTTTCTTAAAACTTTGAGCAAGCCCCAAATATACAGTTATTACTGTGTTTTTTCTTTAGTTTGCTGTGTTACTTTTTGGTTGCTTTTAATGGTTTAAAATATTCACGTGTGAATCTGTCATTTCTTTCCTTTGTCATTGGTTCACCTAAACTGAGGAATTTTATTGTTTTAAAGATGTGATAATCAGTTTTTTCTAGTATTACATGAAAGAGTTTAAATGTAGAATTACATTATAAGAGTTAACTCTTAGTCTATTGGAATTAATTTTAGTATAAGGTGTTTTATTTTGGAGACAAGAGTCTGTCACCCAGGCTGGAGTGTGGTAGATGATAGCGCTCTATAGCCTTGTACTTCTGAACTTGAACAATCCTCTTGCTTCAGCTTCCTGAGTAGCTAGGATTATAGGTGTGTGCCACCACACCCAGCTAATAAAAAAAAAAAATTGTATACTGATGTTGCTTTGTTGCCTAGGCTGGTCTCAAACTCCTGGCCTTATTTGATCCTCCTGCCTTGGTCTCCCAAAGTGCTGGGATTACAGGCGTGAACTATCATTCCTGGCCATCCTCCAACTTAATTGTTTGACAAATTACCATTAAATCATTTTAACACGTTATTAAAACATTCTTTCATGGCTTGGCGCCAGCCACATACACCTGAGCTGGCGGGTTCGAATCCAGCCTGCCAAAGAACAACGACGGCTGCAACCAAAAAAAATAGCTGGGAGTTGTGGCAGGCGCCTGTGTTCCCAGCTACTTGGGAGGCGGAGGCAGGAGACTTGCATGAGCCCAGGAGTTGGAGGTTGCTGTGAGCTGTGATGCCACGGCAGTCTACCCAGGGGTACAGCTTGAGGCTCTGTCTCAAAAAAAAAAAAATTCTTTCATGATTTATTTATTTGTGTCGTCATAGCTCACAGCAACCTCAGTCTCTTGGGCTCAAGTGATCTTTTTGCTTTGGCCTTTCAAGTAGCTGTTACTACAGGCATATGCCATTATATCTGGTTGAGTTTTTCTATTTTTAGTATAGTCAGGGGTTTCACTCTTGCTGAGGATGGCCTTATACTCCTGAGCTTGAGCAATCCACCTACTTTTGCCTCCCAGTGTGTTAGGATTACAGATGTGAGGCGCTGTGCCCAGCCTCTGTCATGTTTTAGAAAGCCTATCTTTTTTTTTTTTCTTTAAACAGAGTCTCACTTTGTCACCCTCAGTACAGTGCGGTGGTGTTATAGCTCACAGCAACCTCAAACTCTTGGGCTCAAGGGATTCTCTTGCCTTAGCCTCCCAAATAGCTGGGGCTACAGGCACCACCATAATGCTGGGCTATTTTTGCTCAGGCTGATCTCCAATCTGTGTACTCCAGCAGTCCACCCGCCTCGGCCTCCCAGAGTGTTAGGATTGCAGGCATGAGCCACTGCACCCAGCCTAGAAAGCCGATCTTACTACATTTAAGTTTTGAGGTATATTTAGACCTATTTCCAGACTATGATTTTCTTTTCTTTTCTTTTGAGACATTTTCACTTTATTGCCCTCAGTAGAGTGCTGTGGCATCACAGCTCACAGCAACCTCTAGCTCTTGGGATTAAGCGATTCTCTTGCCTCAGCCTCCTGACGACAGGTGCCTGCTACAATGCCTGGCTATTTTGGCCGGGGCTGGGTTTGAACCTGCCACCTCTGGCATATGGGACCAGTGCCCTACCCTTTTGAGCCACAGGTGCCGCTCTATTTTTTTTTTTGGTTGCAGTTTGGCCAGGACTGGGTTCGAACCCACCACCCTTAGTATATGGGGCCAGTGCTCTACCCACTGAGCCACAGGCACCACCCTCTGGATTGTGATTTTCATTGTAATTCCTCTTTCACTGGATTTTTGAAGCTATACTACTTAATTTTATTATGTTACTTTCATAATACATGTATGTATTACTATGTAGTAGAGCAAATATCCTCATGTTTCTTTTTTTGTTTTATAACACATTTCATAAACATTCTCTATTCATTAAATCTAAGAATTATTTTGGGAGACAGGATTAATACTTAATTTCTCTATTATGAAGCAGGACATTTAAAAAAATTTTCTTTCTGTCTTTGAATTTATTATTTCTTTTGCCTGGAATATTGTCTAGGCTAGATTGCAGTGTTATCATCATGGCTCACTGTAGCCTCTAATTCCTAGGCTCAGGTGATCCTCTAGCCTTAGCCTCTCAAGTAGTTCAGACTCTATAAGGTGTACACCACCACATCTGGCTAATTGTTTTATTTTTTGTAGAGAATGAGTCTCACTGTTGCTCAAGCTGATCTTGAACTCCTGACCTCAGGAGAGCCTCCCACCTTAGCCTCCTAAAGTGTTAGGATTATAGGCCTCGGCCACCTCACCTGGCCAATTTGGAGTGTCTTCACTGCTCTCCTTGTCTTCTTCCTGCTCCTCCTCCACTGCCTCAACTGTCAGCTAACCTGCTTCAAGATGTAGGTGATGGGCCGGGCATGCTGGCTCATACCTGTAATCCTAACACTCTGGGAGGCTGAGGCAGCTGAATTGCCTGAACTCACAGGTTCAAGATCAGCCTGAGCAAGAGCAAGATCCCGTCTCTTAAAAATAGCCAACCATTGTGGCAGGGACCTGTAGTCCTGGCTATTCAGGAGGCTGAGGCAAGAGGATCACTTGAGCCCAAGAGTTTGAAGTTGCTGTGAGCTTTGATGACATGGCACCCTACCAAGGAAGACAAAGTGAGCCTCTGTCTCAAAAAAAGAAAAATAAAATTGTATGTGATATTTTTTTGTAAGGTCATTTTTCTTCCTTCCCTTAGCAGAGATAATCATTTACATCTATTTATTTCTTCTGCACCTCTGAAACGTTTCCACTGTGCGCTTATCACTGTACTGAGTCACCTTCATTAACTGAGCTTCTTCAGGGCTGTGCTGAATCTTACTTTTTTTTTCTGTCTAGCACCACTCTGAGCACTCTATAGGTAGTCAATATATGTTGGCCAAAATAACAGAGATATTAATATTTTACTTTAAGCTTGGTGACTATAGTCCAGAGGCTAGGGTGCTAGCCAGTATACTGGAGCTGGTGGGTTTGAATCCAGCCTGGGTCTGCCAAACGATAATGACAACTATAACCAAAAAATAGTCGGGCATTTTGGCGGGTGCCTGTAGTTCCAGCTACTTGGGAGGCTGAGGCAAGAGAATCGCCTAAGCCCAGGAGTTGGAGGTTGCTGTGACTGTGATGCCACGCACTCTACCCAGAGCGACAACTTGAGTCCAAAAAAGAAAAAAGAAAAAAATTTTACTTTAAAAAGTATTCTCCCCAGTTATGATCTATATGCTGATAATTTTTAATTCACAGCTGTTTTCTGATGAGTTGTCAGAAAACATCAGACTCATCATCTCATGATATGTCTGTTTGGGTGTTGGTACAGATACCTCAAACTTACCATACCCTAAACTGTAGTCATTAATAACCTTTCCATACCCATAAAAAGTAAGACAAACTTTACTTCTTTTCTGTCTTGTCTCTAGAAGAAGATTAAATGAGGTAATGCCTGTGTGGCAAGAAGTATATCCTACTAGTAACCCGGCAGAACGCGGCTGTTCTTGTGCCTTCTCTTCCCTTTCACATTCTGCTTGGTCACTGAGCCCTACTGAACTCTTAAACCTGTTGAATCCACTCCTTTTTCCTAGCCCCCTGCTGCGAATCATCTCACTGGGTTGTTGCAATAGCTTTCTCATGGTCATCCCTGCTTCCAGTCTTGTCTTCCAGTCCATTTTTTCCCACTGTAGCCAGAGTGTTCTAACACATTTGATATGTAACTTCTCTTTTGGGGCAGTGCCCATTGCTCCGTGTGTAGGGCGCTGGCCACATACACCTACGCTGGCAGGTTTCGGCCAGCTAAACAGTGACAACTGCAGCAAAAAAAATAGCCAGGTGTTGTGGCAGATGCCTGTGGTCCCAGCTACTTGGGAGGCTTAGGCAAGAGAATCGCTTAAGCCCAAGAGCCGTGGTTGCTGTGATCTGTGATGCTACAGCACTCTACTGAGGATAACATAATGAGAATCTGTCTTAAAACAAACAAACAGAAAACTCTTGTGTGTGGAGTTTTGTAAGAGGAGTTGTATAACTCCTCTTTTCATTGCCCTCGGGGTAAGGTGTGAACTTTAACTCAGCTTGCGGAATCCTCGTGCGTGGCCCCGTGCACCTCTTCCTCCTACACTTTCTCCCTTTGCCTCAGTGTGCTCGTCCTGTTCCGCTTCCTGCCTTTCTCCCCTAAGGTTCCTGAAGTCTGGGCCTGAGTATAGAAGCTTCTCTTTGGAATACCTCTCTGGTTCCCTCCTTCCCTCCACTTCTGTTAACTCATACTTGTCTTTTAGGTCTTAGCCTGGGTGGGCCCTGTGTGAGAAAACCCTCTTGATAGCACAGGTCTGGCAGGGAGGGGCCTCCTGTCCGTTTGCTGTGCACGCTGTGCCTGGTAGCACATTGTATCGCTCGTTGTCATCTCTTTATATACAAGGGAAAAGGCAAATTAGCCACCTTAGAAAATGGCGTAATTTGAACAGAGTGCATTAAAAACAGAATTAAATAGTACCTTGGGGGTTCATCCGATAGAGAAAAGAACAAGACATTGTATCTGAAAAATCCAAGTTTTCTAAGTCACAAAGGCATAGAGGCCCTTTTATAACCTGAATGAAAAAGAACCCTTGACATCTAATCACTACCTATTCAGTTTCTCTGTTTAGTAGTTTGGGACTCTTTGGAGTGCAAATAATGGAAATACAGCCTGTGGAGGGAAAGTTATTGGTTCACATAAGCACATAACAGAAATCGTGTGGCTGGAGATGATCATGAGGCGCTAGAGTGGGAACTGGGCCATTGTTGGGTCCTTTGTGTACTTTGTGTGTATATTGGGCTCATTCCTTCTGCGGCAGGCGTGCTGCTTCACATGGCAGGACCTGGTTCCTGGGAGCACAGGCTTTCCACTTAAGAACTTCCTGTCACGGCTCGGCGCCTGTGGCTCAAGCGGCTAAGGCGCCAGCCACATACACCTAAGGTGGCGGGTTCGAATCCCCAGCCCGGACCCGCCAAACAACAATGACGGCTGCAACCAAAAAATAGCCGGGCGTTGTGGCGGGCGCCTGTGGTCCCAGCTACTTGGGAGGCAGAGGCAAGAGACTCGCTTGAGCCCAGGAGTTGGAGGTTGCTGTGAGCTGTAATGCCACGGCACTCTACCCAGGGGGACAGCTTGAGGCTCTGTCTCAAAAAAAAAAAAAAAGAACTTCCTGTCAGAGGTTCTAAATAGATTTGGTCCACATGGCCATCCTTCCAGGGGAGGGGATGAAATACCATGAGTAGTTCAGCGTAAGTCACAGGATGTGCTCACTTAGATGGCTAGGGATCTGTTAGCAGAAAACAGACCCATGGTGGGGTAGGAGAGGGGAAGGAGTTCTGGGCCAACACAAAGAATATCCATTGTAGCTCCAGAGATCCCTTCTGATTATGAATTTATTTTTATAGGTGCTTTATTTGTGAGAAAGAGATGGTTTGCCTTATGGACCTAAATATTCCAGGTACTGAAATGGTAAGACCAGTATTTTAAAGAACTAAGTTGGTCTTTTGGTTTGTGCTGGCATATGACAGATATTTATTGAGCTCTTGTTTGTTAAATAAGACACATCTGGGAGATGCTTCCAGACTTGTAGTCTAAATAAATCAATACAAAGGTGCCAAGATAGAGATATCCCTTGGGTACAGTGGAAGCTGTGGCCAAACCAGATTTCGAGATGGTGGAAAACTTCACTGAAGGAAAAGTTAATTGAGCCAAGAAATATGGGTTAGGTGGGAGCAAGTAGTGGGATCTCTGGGCAGAGCATGTGTGAGGCACAGAAGTGTGAAATACTATCTTGTGTGGAAAACAAATAATTGGGTACAAATACAGGTACTCGGGAAGTAGAGGAAAAGGAGGCTGTGAGTAGGTAAGGGTGCAGGTCATAGAAATCCCTAAATGCTTTACCAAGGAGTTGGAAGTTGATCTTCAACGCTGTAGAGTCATTGAAGGATTTGTAAGCTGGACCTCTCAGGTTTAAAGTCATGGAATATTCAAGTGGATATGTCTGTTATGCAGTTAACTATATTGGAGTTTGGGGGGGAGAGGATTCTTGGTTAGAGTCACAGCTATAGATATTGAAGCTGTGGGTTTGGATGGACCTGGAAAAGGTAGTGTTTAAGAAAAACTCACTTTGTTTTTCCTCTGTTCTCATACCACAACAATTAACACAGAAGACTTCTGTGTCCCCAGAATATGTGGAAATTTCTCCCCACCAACAAGTAAGAAATCGTTCCTGCAGTGGACACAAGTTGGGTGTCCTCGTAATTCAGTTCTGACACTATCTGCCTGGAGATAGCATGAGATCCCATAGGTTGAGGAATCAATCTCTAAACTACCCCTCTTGAGACACCAGTTACAAGTTTAAGCTTCCAGAACTTCTGATCAACTGGCTTCAAGTTGGAGTTCCCAGGGCACCCTCTTTGGGTTTGAGTAAGTTGCTGGATTGGTTCACAGACTCAGGGAAACCCAGGGGAAGGGGGATGATGTGTGCCTCCCCCCCTTCCCTCCCGTAGACAGGGTCTTACTCTTTAGGCTGGAGTGCACAGCTCCTTGTAACCTTGAACTTCCTGACTCAAGCAATCCTCCTGCCTCAGCCTCTCCAGGTGTGTACCACCATGCCTGGATTTTGGTTTTTTTTTTTTTTTTTTGAGACAGAGCCTCAAGGTATCCCCCTGGGTAGAGTAAGTAGCTGGGACCACAGGCGCCCGCCACAACGCCCGGCTATTTTTTGGTTGCAGCCGTCATTGTTGTTTGGCGGGTCTGGGCTGGGGATTCGAACCCGCCACTTTAGGTGTATGTGGCTGGCGCCTTAGCCACTTGAGCCACAGGCACCGAGCCGATTTTGGGGTTTTTATGGGGCTTCATTACATAGGCATGATTGACAAGTGTGTAGAAATGTGATTGGATAAAAAGGGTGATTTCATGCTAAATAGAGTAAGTGGGGAAACCAGCAAGGCCTGAAAGTTCAGATTCTTTTTGGTCTTCTGGGCAGCATTCTTTCCTCCAGGGTATGGAGCAGGACCCTCTGTGGAATGAGGGTCTTATGACCCACAATCAGATTAGAGTCCTGCTTTGGGCAGGTGAAAGGAGGGCAGTAGAAGGTCAGAGAGAAAGGGAGATTATGTTTCCTGGGGCTTAAAGTGTCTCAACATTACACTATATCAAGGGCCTTGGGAGTTACGAGCCAGGAACTGTGAATGAATATCTGTCTGTCTATAATCTATCTTTATCTGTCTATTATTATAGGTCAGTAGAACAAAAGGTTAGGGACAGCCTAGGAGGAGTAATAACATTGGAAAAGTAAGCAGAAGAGAAGGGATCCATGAATGTGACTGAGAATGGCCAGCCAGAGAAAAACCAACGGATGCTGAGGGGGGAGTCGGGGGAAGATTGCACTGGGTCAGTTGTAACAACTAATGAAACTACTAAGAACCTGAAATGATACAGGAAATACTAGGCGTTTAGTCTGAAATAAGAATTCTCTTAATCATCAATTCTGAGTGCAATGAAAAAATTGTATTTCTAAATAGTTCTTCAATACAAGGAATCAGAAATTTGTAGTTTTTTTTTTTTTTTTTTTGAGACAGGGTCTCACTCTGTTGCCCAGACTAAGTGTTAATCTCACTCATAGCAACCTCAGACTCCTGGGTTCAAGCCATCTGCAATCCTCTTGCCTCAGCCTCCCGAGTAGCTGATATTATAGACGCTGGCTACAATGCCTGGCTAATTTTTTCTATTTTTAGTAGAGATGATGTCTCATCTTGCTCAGGCTGGTCTCCTGAGCTCAAGAGATCCTCCTGCCTTGGCATCCCAGTGCTAGGATTGCAGGCCATCTCTCCTGACCACTTTTTTTAAGCATTTTTATTTATTTATTTATTTTTTATTGAGCAATAATAATAATAATATGAAAAAAGTAACATTCGCATTGTCAAATAAGAGTATGTCTATTATAGAATTCTTTGACTCTGAGGTTCAGTATGAGTCATCAGTTAACTTCTTATTTTTTTTCCCCAAAGTCCAAAAAATAGACAACTAATATTTATAAATAAAAACAAAAGATAATTTCAAAAAACAGATTATGCCACATCTTATAGATAATAGAAAAAGAAGAAATATTTCAAAATCATTCTACTTCATTTGGATACACCTGATACTAAAATTGGAAAAAATACATTACAAAGGGAAATTATAAACATATTTCACTTATAAATGAGGATGCAATATCCTAAACAACATATTAATAATTTGAATTAAAAAATGTTTAAGGAATGTACTTCGGTCAAAATTAAATCCAATTTATGTGAGAATTAGTCAACTCTTTTTTTTTTTTTT